TGGACATTCTTGAAAATATCCCTTTGAAAATTTGGATAATTACACATCACCTTGATATGACATGGTAAATGCAAGACCCGAGGCTTTATGAGTTTGTGGTTCGTTATGCTAGAAATGTCTAAAAATCTACGTATTTTGATGGTAGGAATTTGGGAATCAGAATGAAACAATATTGAGGACAATACAAACAAGCGTCTGGAGATTTAAGAATACTAGAATAAATTTATACTTAAAATGAGTTAGATCGAACTAATTCTTGAATAGTTGCATGTTCGATTTTGCCGGTCATGTTATAATATGCCATCCTTTGTTTCGTTATTTCTCTATTTCTTTTCCTTCAAACGTTGAGTTAGTTTTTACCGGACACCTTCGACTTTGGCCTGTTGGATAAGTAATTCATTATATAGTAAAACTACAATTTTAGTTTTCTGTCAAATTTATCTTGAAATTTTGTCACACTCAATGAGTTACATAAAGGGTAATTAGCACAAAATATTTCTGTCATTTGAACTCAATGCGCAAATAGTCTATAGTGTTTCAAATTTGATATTTACACCCTCATTTCAACCCTTTTCTTGTGGAGTTAGTCATTTCCATCAAATATGGGTAATTGGTGCAAAATATCTCTATTGTTTGCTTTCACCGAGCAAAATATCCTTATCGTCCATTTTCATCTTGTAAAATAATTAATTTACCCCCTCTTTAAATAAAACAAATAGAAAAAAAAATTATAGTCAAAGTCCTAAAATTTTCAAATAGTGAAAATGAATTGCACTTAAAATAATGCAAAATATATTTAAAAAAAAACCATCTTCCAAAAAAAATTAATTTACTTTCTCTTAGCTGAATTTGAATTGGAACAGTTAGGAATGGGGTTTGAATGAACCCTCCAATAGAGGAAGAAATCCATCTCAAGACATCATTTTGTAAGCCAATAGAAGTTTGAACAAAATTAGAGCAAAATTTAAAAATGAATTCAATGTGTATGACAAGGATTTATTGAAAATAATTAAATCTCTAAAAACCTCTTGCAACTTCATTGAAAAAAAAAAGATATTGAAACATGAAATTTGATTATAAGAAAATAGCTGAATCCCCTGGTGGTGCCGCAATAGAATTGGGAGAATGTGTGGTGATAGTCGGTGGCAAGGTGCGGAATTGGAAAGGGAAGAAGTACCATTTTGTTTTTGTTTTAATTATTATATTACTTCTTTTTATACTTTTAATTCTCTTTTTAATTATTTTGGTGATTGTGCAGGGTAGAGGATGTGGTAGGGGTAGGTGGGGTTAATTGGGAAGATCAAATATTTTTCTTTTGTTGGTATGTTTTAAATTGTTCTATTTGATACTCGTTTGTATTTTTTTTAAAAACAATTGGAATTCTAACTACAATTTTTTATATTATTTATTTATTTTCTATTTGTTTATTTAAACAAGAGGGTAAATTAATAATTTTACAATATTTTTATTGAGAAAATAGATTATAAGGACCTTTTGCGCAATGAAGGCAAACGATAGGAAGATTTTACACAATTAAGGCAAACTACAAAGATTTTTTTGTACCAATTACCTATATTTGACATAAAGAATTGATGGAGGGAGACAAAAATGACCTATTCCACAAGAAAATGTTGAAATGATGGTGCAATTGCCAAATTTGAAATGA